TCGCCGAGCCGAGGCGGCTTCCACGGAAGCTTCGACCAGGCTGCGCTGTGGTCGCGGCCGCTTCTGCTTAGCGAGGTCCAGGCGGGGCAGGGTGCACTCCCGGCACGGGGACGAGACTCTGGGCTACTTGGCCTATGGACCTTCGACGAAGGCGCGGGTACCGTTTGCTTTGACACCCGCTTCCCGGCAGGGCGAGGCCGCGGCTCGCGACTGGACGGTCAACTCGAGGGTGGCGCGGAGCGTGCAGCATCTACCCGGCAGCTCGTCGAGCCGGAGTGCCCGCCGTCGAGCAGCTTCAAAGCTGACAAGGCCGCCGAGCTCGAGGCGTGGCGGGCTGCCTTTTGCGAGAAGCATGGCCGCCCCGCAACGAAAGCAGACCTACTCATGGCCGATTCCGACGTGCTGAAGCTAGCGCGGCTACTGGGGGAGCTATGACTGTGCGGCAATGGATGCTTTTCTCTGCGTCGTTGGTCGTGTGTACCGCGCGAGATTTAGGCGGCGCCCACTGCTAAAGCGCCCTCCGCAAAGGGGGGCGCGGTGGCGCCGCGGCGCGCGCCATGTCGGTGTCGCGCGCTCGAGCCCGAACCTGCACCTCGCTCCTCGCTTCACGCTTGCCTCTTGGCCTTGATTTTGCATGTATGTGTGCATGATTCTGTGTACCAGAGAAACAATATAGTACGCAGTGCATACCACACAGATCAGCAGGAGGATGTACGAAGAGATTAGGAGCAGCAGGGACCCGAGGGACCATGTCGCATGTGGAAGACGGCTAGTGCTAGTCCCCCATCGGGAGGACGACCCCGGCTAGTCGCCGACCACACCCACAAAGAACCCTGCACAAAGACCGCAGGGCGGGGACCTGTTCCTTTTTACCCATCTCCTAGTAGAGGTGTCCGTTTTATTTATTTACACGGTGTGTGTGTGTTCCCTGTCCGCTGGACGCTGTCGGTCACGGCTCTTGTTAGTTGATTTAGAGCGCGCCTGAGGGCAAACGCACATCACTCAGGTTTATGTATGTAAATAGAGAGAGGATTAGGTTTGGGGAGGGCGCGAGTGGGAGACTTTTCGGCGGGTGACTTGTGAGGATGTGACGACGTTAAGTCTACAGACTACACACACAATTCTGCTCCGTCTGTTTTTGCGCCATGTTTTGCGCACACTCCACACAGCAGGACCAGTGCAGGGCCTCGTGGTACGTGGAGGGAGAGGGTCGACGAGAGCAGGGGGCACGTGCCGCCGTCTACTTCTTGCAGATGCGCTTGAGGTGCTCGTACAGGGAGATGACGGAGCCGCTGAAGATGGAGGCCTGGCTCCAGCGCGGGAGGAAGCCGCGGTATAGCCCAGCAAAGCCCTCGCTCCGCAGCAGCTCCCTCCCAATGGTGAGCACGGGCGGCGCTACCCTGCTCGGCGCGAGCTGCACGCGCGTCTTGAGCACGTCGAGCGGACTCGTCACCGCAACCTACCCGCAGCGGCCGCAGCGCTGAAGCGCATCGCAGCCAAGGTGCGCGCCACCGCCTCTCGCACCGTCCACAGCCCGCTAGACTAGCTTCATTCTGTGATCGCACCGTCCACAGTGATGCCCACGTCGCGGCGAGAGCAAGCTCGGCTAGATCCGGCATCAGCTGCTGCCCGCTCGCCGCGGAGCGCGCGCCGCCGTACGCCGCCCACCAGACCGACCCGCCCGGCAGGTAGGCGATCAGCGTCACGCCAAACCCGCGGTAAAAGCCAGACCAGCCAGAGGTGCTCCAGATGTCTCGCACCACGTGGGCTGCAGAGGCGTCCGCCGCCGCAGCGCCGCCCGACCCGCTCGCAACCATCACCCGCTGCGTCACCACGTCGCAGGGCGTGTAGATCGTCTGGCTCGCTAGCACCGCGCCGAAGCCGGCCGCGCCGTTGCTCGCTGCGGCGGCCGTCGGCCCCGTCACGCCTGCCGCTTCGGCACGCGCCTGCCAGAAGGCCTTGGTTCCCTCGAGCGCGGTGATGTAGCCCGCCCGAGCGGGCAGCGCACCGAGCAGCACAGGACCGATGCCCGCGTAGAAGCCTCGGATGCCAGAGATGCGCCACAGCTCGCCGGCCGCCTCGAGCGAGCCCATGCTCACCGCACTCGCCTGCATCCTCGTCTTTATGACTGCGAGAGGGTAGGTGCAGCAGTTCAGGCCGGTGTAGAAGGCGCTGCCGACTAAGAGGAGCTTCGGAAGGTCTGCAGGCGAGCGGCACACGCGGGTGAGGCAGTGCACGGAAGAGTGTACGGCTCGCGGCGCGGCTTTACCGAGTTCTTCGAGGTCATCCGCCTCACCAGGCGGCTCGAAGATGGGCAGACCCGTTGTTGTCCGGCGTAGGAGCGTGCCTCTCGAATCACCACGGGTCGGCATGCGGGCGGGAGCTGCGGCAGAGTATGCTGCGCAGCGGCGCCGCCATGTGCCCCCCTTCGGCGAGGCCCTGGCGTTTAGAAGAATTTTCGACCGCCTCGCACACACGATTCACTCAACAGGCAAAGCGCGTGAGAAGAATTTTATAAATTGCACGACGCTGGGCACGGGACTGGCGCGCAGCACTGGCACTAACACAGGTACACCACGGGAGCCGCCTAAGCGACTGCACCGCGCTGCGAGCCTGTCGCTGTCCCTTGTCACGAGCAGGAGACCCCCATGTCCTTCCAAAATCCTGCCCGTGCAGGTGGGGACCCTCCTGTTCTCCTCCCATCCCTCGTTTCGCGGTGTTTTCTTTCTTTTAGAACGATGAGAGAGCTGATGCGGATCCTTGACTCCCTGTGGGTGTCGCAGTGTCGTATCCATCCAGGTAGGCAACGGTGCGCTAGAGTTTACTTCTCTCTCGAGTGTCGGGGTGGGGGAAGGGTCTATTGTAACGGAAAACTCGACCGGGCATGGCCGTCGCCGAGGGGCCGACCGCATTCGTGGAGCGCGCTGGGCGTGAACGGGAAGCGCTTGCGGCGGCCTCGTTCGACAGCGGCGCGGCGCGGCTGGCGGCGCAGCTCGCCGCGCAGCGGGAGGCGGAGGCAGCCGTGGCGCGTGAGGGTGAGCTTCAGCGTGGCGGTCAGGGTGTGAGGCGCGGCATTCACCTCTGGCACCGAGCGCTGGTGCTCCTAGCCGAGCGGCGGCCTCAGCTGAGCCGGGTTGCGATGCTGATCGAACGCCAGCGCGGTGTCCGCGTCTCCGCCGCGCAAGAGGCCTACGAGAAGCTCTGCTCCACCGCATGGCCCACGCCGGCCAAGAGCTGGGAGGCTGTCGCGAGCCAATTCCCACCGCCAGCGCTCCTCTGGGCGGCTGAGGCCGAGATCTGCATGGCGTCAAACGGCCGGCTCAAGGACGCCCCGTTCCGGCCAGCGTTTGGCTCCGAGTCACCGCGGTCTTCTCGGACGACTCACGTAACTCCGCGTTCGCCGCTGATGCGGATGTAGAGTTTGTTGTAGAGATTTCACGTTGTAGAGCGCCTCTACATCGCTCTACAACGCACCCGCCTCGTCCCGCGGCGGATGTAGAGCTCTACAGCTCTACAGCGCTCTCCATCTCTACAGCTCTACAGCGCTCTACACTCTACATCCTCTACACCCTCCCTCAGCCTGCATCGTCCCCTTCTCAGCCCGGCGTCTGCTTTCGCTTTGATCGACGCACTCGCTCTCCATCTTACTACGTGCGCTCGCACGTGCACACAGTGCCACCCTCACAGTGCCACCCTCCCGGAGACAAGCGCGGCAGCACCAGCAAGCAAGCAGAGGGACGTCGAGACAGAGAGGTCCTCACAAGCGCTGGCTGGGGCGAGAGGTCCTCATGTGCGAGAGGTCCTCACACTTAACTCTTAAGTGACTGACTCTCTGCGGTGCTGTGGATATCTCGCGTAGGCCTGGCTGCCGCGATTTGTCATTCGTGTTTCAGCCTGGCCTCGTGATTCGGAGGAGGTAATGGGAATCATATCAATGTGCTGGTGTGAGGACGTCTGCCTCTCTCTGCCTTGGCAGGGGGCTGTGAGGACCTCTGCCCCATGTCCCCGCCGGTCGGCGTCCGATGCACAAGGCAGCCATGTTGGCTGCCACGGCGTTTCCGCTCGGGATCGCGGCAGCCTGGCGGACCCCGTGAGCCACAAAAGTGCGTGGCAGCGCGGCGCGTCGCCAACCTCGCTTTCGGAGCAAAAACCAGAAACCAGATCGCGCGATATTTCCATAAAACCCTTGCTATATCGAAAAACCAGAAACCAGAAACCAGACCGCCGCGTTCCCCCCAAGGGTTCCTCCCACCCAGAACATGCTGCTGTCTTAGTACTCCCGTTCGACCCATTCGGAATCCGATGAGTTAATGAGGGGTCATTCCGCCGGAATGACCCCTCCGGGGAGATCGTTCACACCTCGAAAAACCAGAACCCAGAGCGTCTGGACCGATATTCCCATGGCCCGGATGTTTTCTGTGGGATGTGGCGAAAAAGCAGAATACAGAGCTCATCCTCCTAGAAGTCAGACGTTTTCTTGATAGCTGATATGCCAGGGAAGAGCCTGGTATCTCAGTATGTTATATCCTATGATATAACATAGTGGTGTCTGGTTTATCCATACCTCGAACCTGGCCGGGCGCGGGCGGGGCCCGCGCCCCCAGTATAAAGGATTCGGGCCCGCGCGAATGGCGTAGAATAAATCTCACGTGGTTACCATGGTGGTTACGCCGCTGTGTGCACACAACAACAACATGTACATGTGACATGTGATTGTGCGTGTGAATGTGTCTTCTTCGAACCACAAAGTGCGCACGCACCAGGGGGGGGGGGGGCTCCAAGGGGTCCGCGCGATCGCACCGGGGGTCTCTGGGGCTTCACCCCTTACTCTACTGCCCCGGACGCAAGCCCGGGTCTATGTACACTATTGCACAGCAGGGCACGTAGGTCTATCCGGCCGCGGAGCGCGGTCCCAGGTTGGCGCGGCACTTTGGGTTGGTCTTCTTCGTGTCTTGCCGGCGCTGCGGCTTTCCTGCATAGCACCACCACGGTCGCTTCCAACGGCCGCTTAGCACTTCGCCCTCACCTCAGTGAGCACGCCAAAACTCCCGACATATCCCGTCCAGAACTTAAACCACGGCGGGAAATGCGCCGGGTGCCCATCGAAGGTCATGTTCGAGAGCCTCAGTGATGTGGTGGCGCTAAAGGTGCCACTGGTCCAGTCAAGCCACAGAGAACACCCTCCATGACTGTAACACCTCTCCGCGTACTGGTAGTCTCCGACGACCCAGCTCTCATCGCCGCGGTCGTTGCAGTCGAAACGGCGTTCCCAGTTGCAGGCACTGCCGATGTTGTGCATGACGATCGTATATATCTGGCCGGCGGTGAACGGTGCGACCTTGGGCAGCGGTCCGCCATTGGAGGTTCGAGGTTGGTCGCAATGAAAGTTGTAAAAGATGAAGCTCGACTGTTGGAGAAACCCATATTCCGGATAACGAATGATGCCTTGAGGAATGTCGTTGAAACACTTGTCTTCCTCATGTTGGTCGTCGCACAGCCTGCATTGAGGACCGTTGCTGTGGCAGCCTCCCTCGAGCCTTGAGCGAGTGCAGCCGGCAACAAACGGACACACCGCCGGTGATGAGGGAGGCGGCGATAGTGGCGGGGGAGGCGCTGGAGGGGGGGGCGCGGGCGTCGGCGATGGTGGCGGCGGTGATGGTGGTGGCGGGCTGGGCGGTGGCGGAGATGGCAGTGGCGGAGAGGGCGGTGGTGGAGATGGAGAGCAAGCGGAGTCGCGAAGCTGCTCCTGGAGGTCGTGCACATGCTGCTTCAGCTCAACCACCTCCATAGCTGCTGTCTGGACCTCACCTTGGGCCTCCGCGAGCAAGCGCTCGATGCTTTGCAAAGCGGGGATTGGCATCGGCGTCGGAGTTGGAGCCGGAAGAGCTAGCGACAGGGCGAGGGAGAAGAGCATGCCTGTGGGCAAGGGCAACGGGTCGGCGTGAGCTCTGGGTGCGCTCTACCGCATGGACTTGGGGCTTGGGCATTTGGTCGGACTTGGGCGCGGGGAGTCCGACTTGTTGGATGTCACGGACGGCGCAAAGATTTCCACAGGAAACTCGATCAAAGAAGGCGGACCGTCCTGAACCTAAGGAGGGGACGACACTGACGGCATATCCTTTTTATTGATAAGAACTTGCGGGCACAGGACGCAACACAAAAACTCTAACACTCACACATAATTTGCGCGACGAAGCGGCCATGCACCTCGCTGTGGGGCGAGGTGGAGCGGGCGGAGCACGCCAGGTAGTCGACGAGGAATGCGGCGGTGCAGACCGCGTAAAGAGACAAGACTCAAGAGCACACGCAGGCCTCACTGCTTCTCCTTCTTCACCTGCTTGTTTCCAAACAGCATCTGCCCCACCCTCTTGGTGATGTCACCAAACTGGTACTCCCCCTTCCCGGTGAAGTTTGAGACGAAGGTCTTGGTCAGGTCGCCGAACTGGTAGTCGGACTTGCCCGTGAACTCCTGCACCCACGCCGCCCTGCGGCTCTCGAGCTCGCGGCTGATGTCGCCGAAGGTATACTGCTCCTTCCCCGTGAAGTCCGCCACGGCCGACTTTGCGCGCCGGTCTATCTCGCGCGTGAGATCGCCCGTAGTGTACTCCTCCTTTCCGCAGAAGGCTGCCACGGCGCTCTTGACGCGGCCGTCGATCTCGACTGATAGGTCGCCCGCCGCGTACTCGCTCTTGCCGGTGAGCTTGCAGACCTGCTCCTTGGTCAGCTGATCGAGGGCGACGGAGAGGTCGCCCAGCTCGTACTCGTCCTTGTCTCGCAGCCGCGCCACCTCCGCCTTGACGCGAGCGTCAATCTCTTTGGACAGGTCGCCGATCTTGTAGTCGTCCTTGCTGGTGAAGCCGCGGATCTGCTTCTTCGCCTCCTCGCGAACAGCGACGCGGACGAGGATGGCCATCTCCATCGCAAGGCCGAGCCACTCGTCGTCCTCCACCAGGTTCCCGACCGCAGCGGCGTCGGCGGCAGTGACGAGGGCGCTGCTATCGGAGGCACTCGCAGCAGCGCCGGGAGCGACGGCCTCGCCGCCGCCTGAGGGGCGCACGTCAACTCGGTGAGTCTGCGAGGCCATCGCCTGAGGGGCGCACGTCAACTCGGTGATGCGGGTCGTGCGCATGTCTGAGGCTTTTGATGAGCTGTTTAGTGGCGAGTATGCCGGCATCGGATTTGTGGGAGGCCTCTCACCATCTGCGTTGCTGTCGGAGGCAGCTCTGGCGGGCGTTGAAGACGCCTTGACCGGCGATGCTCTGCGAACGCAGGCCCGTCTTGCTTGCAGCGAGGCGGCGAGTGGCGGCGGCAGCAGAGCGGCGTCGGCAGCAGCCGCGAGGAAGATGACCGACGTGAGCGCCACCGAGGCCTCCATGGACTTGAAGAAAAGAACTCCGGACCGGCTCCAAGTGCTCCAAGATTCTGCTCGTTCTCAGTGCAGCGCTCTCGTATTCACACCCGCACAGCACCCTTAGGTATTTTTATGTTCCCCCACCCGGGTGGGGGAATTTTATATTTAGCAATATGAGCCGCCGTCCCCACTCGAACTCGAGTCCGCCGACCGCTATAGGTCGAGCGGGGAGAGAGGCGCTGCCTCCACGGCGGGGACGGAGGCGACACCTCCGTCCCCACCGCCATTGATTCGAGCGGCAAGCCTTAGGTAGAGCGGGGACGGAGACGTGGAAAAGCGTGCTTGTGAGTGGAAGCCACAAGCGCGCTGGCTCCGGTCGTTTGTAAATGAGGGTGTTTTTCTGTGTGTGTGTTTTCTTGAAGCCTTTGTGCAGCGGCTAGGATGTACAGCAGGAACGCGCCGCGTACACCAGCTAGCCACTGAGGGGGTGAGCTGCTCGTTCTCAGTGCAGCGCTCTCGTATTCACACCCGCACAGCACCCTTAGGTATTTTTATGTTCCCCCACCCGGGTGGGGGAATTTTATATTTAGCAATATGAGCCGCCGTCCCCACTCGAACTCGAGTCCGCCGACCGCTATAGGTCGAGCGGGGAGAGAGGCGCTGCCTCCACGGCGGGGACGGAGGCGACACCTCCGTCCCCACCGCCATTGATTCGAGCGGCAAGCCTTAGGTAGAGCGGGGACGGAGACGTGGAAAAGCGTGCTTGTGAGTGGAAGCCACAAGCGCGCTGGCTCCGGTCGTTTGTAAATGAGGGTGTTTTTCTGTGTGTGTGTTTTCTTGAAGCCTTCCTTAAACTGGGTAACGAACCCCTGTCACTCCGTGAAGTGAACAGAAGAGAGGTGTGAACAGACTGGCGTGCTGATCGTGAAGAGGCGCCATGTCATCGGACACCGAGAGCACGGTCTGCGACCCGCGGTTAGAGGTCGCACCCGAGCCGCAAGTCCCCAAGGGGCCGGGCCAGATAAGGCGCGTGCCCCAGCTGTTCACAGCAACAGCACGGTCTACCCCCGTCGTCCCACCCCAAGTGCAGCAGAGATTCACTTCGACGTTATGAAACAAACGCAAGGCCCCCAGGTGTGTACTTTAAATGCGCGATGCTGCCTCTTAGAGCGTGCTCGCTCGCGGCTGCGGGAGACATGCGACTGAGGCTGGAAGGGGAGCACCATCGTGATCTCCATCTCCATGATCTCGTCCCGCGTCGTTGGCTCAGTCTCGATGGCGCCGCCCTCGTGCGTGACCGCGACCTCCTCATTGAAGCCGGGGACCACCTTCACCACCTCAGCGAGCCGCTGCAAGCAGAGGGTGGGAGGTCATGATATCTCATTGTGGGTGGCGGGAAGGCAGTGGCTGGTGACGCGGCTGCTGGCAAGCGCGCGCGCCTTGCAGAGGTACTTGGGAGTGGTGATGAAGTGCTTGCGGTAGTAGTGGACGTTGGTCCAGCCCTCGGTGCCCTCGTAGTACAGGTTGGCGTGCTTGATGTCGCGTCCAGTCGTCCTGCCCTGGAAGATGATAGCCTTCATCTTGGCGCGGTCGAACGGCGTCATCTTTGGATGAATCTCTTCGTGCGAGTCGAGGACCTTGAAGAGCTTCGTGTTGAGCTCGTCCTAGCGATATGGGGAGTCAGGATGAGCCCCGCGCGGGAGGGCGCTGGGCGAGAGGGGTTTCGAACCCGTCCGGTCTTGTCCATGCCGGGTTCGACATAGCAGACGCCGGTGCTCGGCTCGACGGTGCACTCGACCGTGTGCTGATGGAACGGTGCGGGGTCAGGGCGGTGGGTGGGGTGTGCGGCCGGGAGCGGGGAGAACACCTCGTGTTCGACGCTGTCGCCGAAGACCGTGTCCTTGCCCACCTTCTTGGCCGGCGTTGGAGTCTCGCTTGCCGGCGTGAGACAGTCTTCGCCCTGTGGGGTGCGGGCCGATGTGCTTGGGCGCGTAGGGCGGGCGGGCAGGTGCGCAGGTCCGAGCTGCACTGGAGGTGGCAACTCGTCGGAGCTTCCGGGGTAACATCTAGGGGTCCCTGGTCGTTTCCGCAGGCGAAAGGACAAGACGCATTTTAAAGATTTCCACAGGAAACTCGATCAAAGAAGGCGGACCGTCCTGAACCTAAGGAGGGGACGACACTGACGGCATATCCTTTTTATTGATAATGAACTTGCGGGCACAGGACGCAACACAAAAACTCTAAACACTCACACATAATTTGGTATTGCTAACTAAAACATTGCTCTCTCTCTCAGGACGCGGCACGGACGGGGCACAAACGCAAGGCTACAGCAACGGTAGGTGGCGTGCCGCAAGGGTTTCGCCCATAGTCAACTCGGGACGGGGGACACCCCCATCTCGCTGAGGTGCTACGGCTTTGCCCGCTATGTCGTCGTGACCCTGCCGGGCACGGGCCGCCAGATCGCGCTGCGTGAGATCGACGTCTTTGTCATCGAGAAATTTGATGGCACGGCCTGCCCGAATGAGTTCAAGGCGCCACCGGAGCCGCCGCCGTTTCCGCCGGCAACACCGCCACCGCCGGCCGCCGGGAGCTGCGACAGAAAAACATGCAGAGGCGCGGTTGTCGTCGGATCAAAGGGTTGGAAGGGAGGGTCCAAAACCGTCAACTGCGGCTTCGACTGCAAAAACTGCCGCTTGATGAGCCAGCCACCTGCAAGTGGTCCATCTCACCCATTTTGGGACGTCAGAATCCAGTGTCGATCGAATACGTGTATCGACAGGATGAGAATCACCACCGGTGGGGGGAGAACGACAATGTTCAGGCCTTGCGAGGGAACATCAGGCCGCGACGGCGGCAGCAGCGGACACCAATGCGGCGGCCAAAACGCCTGGGGGCAAAACATGTGCGTGTACTGCGACGGCGACGAGGACAACATTCACGGTCGCGTGTGCCAGGACGAATACGCTGTTACCGATTCGGGGTATTCCGAATAAGGAGGCGGACCAGTCCAGCGGTACACGCTCGCGCATGCTCCACTCGCAGTCACCGCGCCGCTGGTGCGGACATCCTCTCATGCTATAACGGGGATTCCGGCGCCCAACGTGATTCGCGGATCGGCATCTACCGGCCATGGGCTCGATCGTCTCGCCCTCCCTCACTGGTGTGTTCTGGGTCCATTGCTCATGCTCGGGACGGCTCGCGGTAGGTGATATGTGATCTGTCGACTGTACTCTAAGGGTCCGCCGCAGGCGCATTTTGTATCCCGAGGCGGTGCCCGGTGCCGAACTTGTCGGACCTTAAGACAGCAGTGGAGATATTACGATCTGGAGGGATTGAAGGATAGTAATCTGGGGAGATCTGGAGGGCTCCCGGGTCGCCCCGGAGCGGCCCCGCGCGGGGAGGTGGGTGGAGGGCGGGCACCACAGTTGGTAGTTCTCCAGATCTCCGCGGCACGGCGAGTGGTACTGGGTTACCCACGAACCCAGTCTCTCTCCGTGGGTTCGACTTTTAGCGGGCAGTGCGTGTGGAGTCCGGTCGCGTGTGGGAGGGCACGCTCCACACCCTCGTCACTCGGCGATCACCGGGAGCCAGCCAACGAGTGATGTGCGACAAGTGCGACGCTCAGCTCCTCGAAACGCTGCTGCACACGCCCTCCGAGGGCTACTACCTTCTGAGTGGGCACCTCGACCGGCTCCTCCTCTCCGGCTACGCGCTCGGCTTCACGCTGCCCGCGCCGGAGAAGATAGCGGCGCGGCTTCACGCCGAGGCTGCCGCGTGGCCGCCCGGTGGCGCGAGCCGTGTCCGTCTGCTTGCCGCGCGCGACGGCTCGCTGCGCGTCGAGCGCTACGCGCTGGCTGGGGTGCTCTCCCATCCCGCCGCCGTCATGGCTCCGCCGACGAGTGACGACCGGGTGCGCCAGGCACCTCCGCTTTCGCTGGCCACCGAGCGTAGTCCACACACCACCGGAACGCCTCAGGTGCTGCTTCTTCGGCTGGACCCGGCGCCCACCCCGCGCGACGACCCCTGCCTCCGCCACAAGACGACCGCCCGCGCGGCCTACGACGCGGCGCGCGAGCGTGCCGCCGTCGGCGGCGAGATCTTTGACGTGCTGATGCACAACGAGCTCGGGCAGGTGACGGAGACGTCCATCACAAACGTCGGGCTCGAGGCGGCGGGCGGCGGGTGGATCACACCGCCGCTCTCGTGTGGGCTCCTCGGCGGCGTGATGCGCGCGGAGGCGCGCTCCCCGCTCTCTCGCCCCAGCCCCTCGCCCCGGCCCCGCGCCGCTGCTCTCGGCCCCTCACGACGCGCCCGCGCCCCGCCCGGAGCAGCTGATCTCGAGAGGGGTGCTGCGGGAGGAGGCCATCACGGTGGCGGATCTGCGTGAGGCGCTCGGGGCGGGGCGTAGGCTCTGCTGCTTCAATTCGGTGCGAGGCGCCTTGGCGGTGACGCTGGAGGAGGGAGGAGGGAGGGTGGGAGGCTAGCGGCCCCGCAGTCTCGACACTGAAGGGCCTCTCCCGGCGGCCGCGAGGAAGCTCGAGCTCAACGGCAGGCACGACCGTGAAGCTTGTGTCGCAACCGTCAGATGTCGGGCAACGTGCTAGCCACAGGCGAGCCCACGTTCCGGAAGATCCGCATCTCGGGCGCGGCCAAGGGCTGCTCGTGCAAGGGCGCCGAGGAGCTGTTTACGCTGGCAGGCTTTGACGGCGCGCCCGAGTCCGGTACCTCTCCTGCCCGCCGGCGCCGACCCGGCCCTGCTGCAGCGCGTGTGCTCGACGTGCTCAAGGCAGAGGGCGCCGGACTGAGGCCGAGGACAAGAAGCGCAGGCTTCTGGCCGCAAGGCGGCGAGCGAGTGCGCGCGGACAGCAGATCGGTGAGCAATGCGCAATGGTGCGAACTTGTTTCGAATTCTTGTTTCCTGCGTTCGTGCCAGCGCGCCAGCCCGTGCCCGCGTGCCCAGTGTCTGTGCGAGGGAGTTAGTCGTAAAACGGTGTACGAAGGTCGTACCGGTGTGTTAGTGCCAGTGCGCGCCAGTCCCGTGCCCGGTGTTGTGCGTAGTGCGAGGGATGTGGAAAACTTCTTTTGTATGAGGCGGAGATGATGGAGCTTGGAGGCGCTCGCCGCGTGCGGCGATTGACATTGAGCGCCTCCCTCTCTCTCCGGCTGTGCGCCTGACCGGTGCGGCCTCCGAGTCGGCGTCTAGCGCGCGTGATAAGGGTTTTGCTCGCCTTCCCTGGGACCCCGTGTTGCGTGACTGTCTCTGTCACTGTCTCTGTGCGATTTCGGGCCCGGGGTTGTGCGTTTATGTGAACAGCAAACGTGTGGAGGCTGCATGCGGCGGCCACTTTGCTTGCGCGTGACCTCTTGCGTGCACGCCCAAGCTCGAGCGGCATCACGCAGAGCGAGCTCTGCGCAGGTCCCGCGACCTTCTCGGGCAGGAGCCCACCTCTCCTTCCCTCCGTGCGCCCAACGATATGGGCAAATCCGCGCCAAAGCGCGCTTCCGACGCTGACCAAGACGTACGGCCCGCAGAGGCAAAGGATGGCTCTGGGCCTTGTTAGGTGCCGCCCTAACAAGGCTGTGAATAGCAGCTTGCTTTTGTGTGTATCGCCGGGGCTTCCCGCTCGCCCATGTCCAGCAAGAAGCGGCGCCGAGCGCCCGCCGAGTCGCCGCCGCTCTCCGACGACCTCGAGTCTCTCTCAGCGCTCTATGCATCGACGCTGCTCGTCGCCTCGTTCCTCGCCCCAAAGGGCGCGGTGTGCACGTATTCGGTGCTTCGCTCGGCGGTCGCAGCTCAGGGCGCGACGCTCTCCCTCGACGACCTGAGGAGGATGGTCGGGCTGGACAACTCCATCGGCCTCCGTCCTCACGCGGCGGGCGGCAGAGTCGAGCCGGAGCTCGTGCTGCGTGACGCGCGCCGCCTCTCCGCGGCGGGCGTCAAGAGCCGGCTGCGCCACTTCCGCTCGCTGCTCGCCGCCCTCCCGGCCCAGGCGGGCGGCGGTGCGGCCACCATCTCGCTTGCGCCGCTGCCCGCCGGCTGCGCCGTGGACGTGTCGGGCGAGCCGGCGCCGCAGGGCGGCGGCAGTGATGCGGCGGCTGCGAGCCACGGAGGGTTCGTCCCGTCCACGGAGGCGCGGGAGGCGGCCTCTCCCCGCCGCTCGTCCAAGCACTCCGAGCCGCGGCTGCTGACGGGGCTGCCTTCGCCGCCGCCAAAGCCGCTCCGTCGCGGCACCGGCTCCATCGGCGAGGGGTGGGCGGAGGGGCGGCCGAGGGCGGAGGGGCGGGAGCAGGGGCGGGAGCAGGAGCTTCCGGAACAGGAGCTGCCGGCAGAGGGGCCCGCGGCGGCGGCAGCAGCGGCGGCGACGGCAGCGGCGGCGGAGGAGGAGCCGCTAGCCGGTCGGGACGAGGCGGCGCGACCGGCGAGGCGCTCTCGCGCCGACGCCTTCCTGGCGCAGCTGCAGGCCCCTCCCCTCCTCCCCTCCCCTCCGCCCGCGGCCAGCCGTCGGACGGGACGGGCGGCCAGCCGAGGGGACGGGCGGCATGACGGTGGCTTGCGGACTCACGGTAGGCGTCTCCCTTTTACCGCGGCCAGCTGGTGTACGTGCACGAGACGAGGCCGGCGGCAGCGCAGCCGCAGCCGCCGCCCTCTGGCCTCTGCCCCGCCGTCACCGGCCTGCTGCG